CATTTACTGCCATCTATTAACAAATATCGAAGCAAAATATTGATCAAATATAGATATTTAAGCTGGTCATTTCTTTTCTATGATCATTATATCTAGATTTACCTAATACTACTTTGTTTAATACTAATACTTAATAATAATACTAATTAATAATTATATCAATGCGGATAATACCAATTACACGCCAACAAAATTACAATGCTTGTTTTAATATTGTTAAGCTCTTTGCTAATTCTTACGAATAGTTTTATTGAAAACTAATTAATTAATTTTAGCGATCCTTTAGCGATTAGTAGTATTTTTTTTCCTTTATCTCAAAGTGAAAATAAATATTTCACATTCCAGAACTATTTCTTCTGTTGATTTTATATTTACAAGTTTTTAAAGATAAATAATATTTCATTGTTTCAAGGAGGGGTTTAATTTCCTATCGCCGACCACCAGTATAACCGATTTTACTGGCAGGTCATTTGGGCAACACAATCATATCGAGGACAGCTCTAGGTATACGAAACTACTCTTCGCAATTTTGAACAAACAAAATCTGAGTGAAGTCGGTCAAATAGTTTCTGAATAACGGAATTTCAATGTAACCGTTTCTTCGAATTCTTATTTCTCAGATGTTATTAGACTGATTTAGATCAAATTTTGCATTTTGTTATTTAAAATGACACATTTTAAAATTAAATTAAAATTTGCAGATCTTGCGATTCAAAATTTTTTAGACCCACATTAAATGAAGTAATAAAAAATATTAAATAATTATGAATGTCATAAGTAAGGCCCGGATTTTGATGACATTTGCATTTTTTTGCATTTACATTCATTNATAATTATGAATGTCATAAGTGTTAGAATATAAAGGTTAGTTATATCCTTTTACGTTGTTTTGATTGTTCATAACTTGCGTGATTTTAAAAGTTTATCATATGAAAGCAACAAAATCATCTTTATCTTTACGACTTGAGATGTATATGTCCCGTTATAGTCTTTTCTCATGGGTCACTGAAAAATACTAATGGGGCATCAATTTCCCAGGACCTGACAGCAAGAAGTGAGTCCAGATTTTTTTTAAAATTATTTGCAGTGTAACTAATAGTAAAAAAAAACAATATACTGCGTAATGAGAAACTTTGTCTTAAAAAATTTAGAAATCAGTTTTAAAAGCGTTAAAGGATCTGCATAACAATACAGAACCATCACTGCATTGAAACTTTAACAATCAGGTAAATAAAAGTCAAACTTGCACCATTTATCACTTTAATAGTTAAAACTGAATAAAATTAAGCAATCACTATTACTCAATAGGTGGAACATTTTTTTGAAAAAAAGAAATATATCATCAAAATAAATAAAATTAGGAAATAAATAAAATGATTCTGGTCAAAGGAATAATCCAATTGAAAAGGAAATGAATTACATGAGATACAGATTTCTAAAAGAGCAGAATTAGCATGCGTAACTTGTTCTTTTAAGGGGATCCATGACACAAAAAAAAGTGCAATTTTTATTCGATCAGTTTCAAATTTTAAGAAAATATTGGGGAAAAAAACAATAATTAGTTTAAAGTTATAGCTAAATGTATGGTTTTTAATTTTTGGTTATTAAAATTTTCCTTCTCTACGATTTTTAATTTTTTTAATTAAACTTCTACCAAAGTACGATATTTATAGGCATTTAAATAAATTTAAGTGATTATGGTAACCGCATAAAAATTTAACATATCCAGGCATCAAATTTTTATTTTGTCGCCAAAAGTTTTCTCAAAAAATGCGCTTCAATTATGCTTGTTCAATTATTAAAAAATTAAATTAAGATATTGAGTTAATTGCATTTAGAATAATAGAATAATTAGTATCACTTTTGATCACTATAATAGAATAATTTATAGTGTATATTTTTGTAGTAATAGAATAATTAGTATCACTATAATAGAATAATTTAGAATAATTGCGCATAGAATAGTATCTGAAAATAACAATAAAACAAAGACTGGTGTGCAAGAAACTTTTTGAAGTTGTAAGAACATTGAAAAATTCCTTTTTCTCGAGAATTTTTTTGCAAATTCATAATCTTATAACTTGATAAGAAAAACTCTGATTTAAACACGGTTTGTTTCCTATCACTTAGTAAAGTGTATATTTTTGTTAATATCTCAAAAACCAAATAATGACTTTCCGAAGGATTTTTCTCATTTTTAACTGCCACTGTGCCCTTAATGTATTTTAATTTGTTTCAGAATCCACAAAATTCTCGAGAGTTTTCCAAACGCAACGTCTTGTAATCTGACAACAACCAGTCCAATTATAAATATATGTAAACCTAAATACACCCAAACTATCGGATTTTAACGATTTATTAAATTTATCTGGTAGTTTTTAAATTAATTCTCTTTCACTCCAATCAATTGTTACATAAATCAAACGAAATTTACCTTTAAAATCTTCTTTTACTTATAAAGACCGACGTAACAATTCAGTATTGAATCAAAATCACGATTATCACTTTAATCAAATAAAAAAAAATCCTTTTAGTCAAACATACACCATTTACCGCTACAATAATTAATAGGAAATAGAATTAAGCAGTCACCATTACTCAATTTCCGGTACTTTTTTTTAAAAGGAGAAATATGATCATCAAGAACTAAAAAAAACAAAACGAGGTTGGTTAAAAGAATAATCCTATTGAATCGGTAATGAATTACGAAATCTGGTTTTATAAAAGAGCGGAATTTGCATGCGCAACGTGTTCTTTTAATGTATTTTTATTCGTTTTTGAATCCATAGAATTCTCGAGAGTTTTCCAAACGCAACAGCTCGTGAGGCACGTAATCGGACACTAACGAGTCTCTCTCGCTTTGAGAATATTTTAATGAATTTGGAAAACTCCGCCATGGTTTATCCACAACCGTAACTTAGCGAAAAAGAAAACTATTTCTGGGAAGGATTTCTTTTCTTTTTTCAAAAATATTTTTTTAACCGTTGTCGTTACGGATTATTTAAAGAAGACTAGAATTAATGAGAGTAAAATCCCGAATCTAGAATTATCCCGAATCTATATTTATCAAAGCTAGGCTAATTCCAACATTTATAAACTAGGAAAATAGGGTGTTAAGATTTTTTTCTACGCTTTATGCATAGAAGGTTAGATTTTCTCAGAATATTTGCAAGATTTAAATTTCACCAGCAAAATAAAAAAAAAAAGTAACAGTTAGTTAAACACACAAGTGGGAGACCTGTGTGCTAAAGTACAAACTAAGCCAAACAACGTTAAAGAGCACAAAAATATTTATAAAATACAGACAGCTGTTTCGGATGCTCAAAGGGAAACCTTCATCAGTGCAACTGTTGCACTGATGAAGGTTGCTCTTTGAGCATCCGAAACAGCTGTCTGTTTTTTATAAATATTTTTGTGCTCTTTAACGTTGTTTGCCTTAGTTTGTAACAGCTAGTTATTAAAAAGGAGCACTGCGTGAAAGAATAATGAATAATACGCTGCCATTGATTGAATGATATCTTAAGGATACAAAAAAATATCTTAAGAATACAAAGAACGTTATTTCACATTTGAATAGAACATTCCTATGAATTCTAATATTCTTGAAATTAAATAAATTCGTTTTGCTTCCTAGTTAAAATGAATGTAAAGCTTTCGCATGTTTCTAAAGAAAAGTCGACATGTTTTGAAAAGATGCACAGTTTTTTTAAAAGAGTTCAGTTCTATTCCAGTCCTGCATTGGTCATGGAAACATATTTTACGCCGATTTGCTCTCTTTGGCCTTAGCTGTCTTCTAGGCTACTGCGGTCTCTGTTATTTTATTAACATTAATTACATTTCATTTTTCAATTAGTAATTTTAAATTTTCGTGTTATCATTTACTTGTGTCTAGAGACGTCGACTTTTATTTGAATTCAGATATGAGGCAAAAATAGACATACGTGTAATTTCCAATTTTTTATCATTTGCAGCAGCCTAGTAAATTTTTTTTTTTTTTTTTTTTACTTTGATTGAATTGCTTTATAAAAGAGGTATTAAGCAATTCAATTAGTTCAATAAACTCAGAATACAAGAAATAGGTAGAGGCATATCGGAGAGATTTCGACGATTAATTAACATTTTTACTTTTTTATTAGGTAAATTTAAGAAACTACATTTTAATGTATGTATACACTTATAAAAATATTTCTTTATTTTTTGCTGAATTTACATGAGAATGTGCGTATAAACATTAATGATTTTTGAGGTAACCGCGCAAGAAATTGCGAATTTAATATCTAAATATTATAATTAACATATAAATCATTCCAACGTGCTCAGAAATTGCTAGGAATTTTTAATGGTAAAACATCTTTAGGCTTTCTATGATAGGTTTCTGTACGTATTTTTTTCCCCTGTCAGTCATTACTAAAGTGTCATTAATGCAAATATTTGATTAAAGTGCAAGTAAAGAACATCCTTTGGGTTTACCATTAATAATTGAAACCTTCTAGGAATTTTTAATGGTAAAACATCTTTAATCTTTCTATGATAAGTTTCTGTGAGTATTTTTCCTTCCTGTAAGTCAGTACTAAAGTGTCATTCACGCAAAAAATTTGATTAAAGTGCAAGTACAGAACATCCTTTGGGTTTACCATTAATAATTAAAACCTTCTAGGAATTTTTAATGGTAAAACATCTTTAATCTTACTATGATAAGTTTCTGTGAGTATTTTTCCTTCCTGTAAGTCATTACTAAAGTGTCATTCATCCAAAAATTTGATTAAAGTGCAAGTATAGAACATCCTTTGGGTTTACCATTAATAATTGAAACCTTCTGGGAATTTTTAATGGTAAAACATCTTTAATCTTTCTATGATAGGTTTCTGTGAGTATTTTTCCTTCCTGTAAGTCAGTACTAAAGCGTCATTCACGCAAAAAATTTGATTAAAGTGCAAGTACAGAACATCCTTAGGGTTTACTATTAATAATTGAAACCTTCACTAAAAAGTAAATCTTACTTGTTCCGGTGAGGTTTGTAGGACTTGAACATCAAGAGAACCTGCCAGTACGGCATACCAGTTGGTCCCTTTATCACCTTGGCGGAACACTGTCAAAAGTAAAATGCAACTTACTCAGTTGAATGATGGTAAAGGGCAAAAGTAAGAGAATGCAAATTAAATCATTTCTGAAAGAATAATTTAATCCACGGAAGGGGATGACGTAATAGGGAACTTACGAGTGACCCCTTTGTCCAAGTCTTCGTAGTACCCGAAGCAGCACATCTGTTGAAGTAATGTAGGGTGGTACTTTTCGAAGGCCTCTATGCTTCGAAGACGATTGTAGAGGATCTCCAACTCTTCTTCGGTCCGGTCTGCAGGTCTATGACAATAAAAGAAAAACTATTATCTTTTTGACTTTATTTTTTTTAAATACAAAAATCTATTAGAACAATTGGAATAGTTGAACACAGGAAGAAGCTTGTTGAACACGAAATTCAATTCAATGCCTGATTGAAAAGGCATCAATAAACGGCATATATATATGTACACATGTCAGTGCACAAAGTGGTAAAAAAGAAATTTTGTTTTTATTTATTTTGAGGTTAAGAACAAAATATGATTTAGACAAAACGCTCCTCCCCAACGCAAGAGAAATAATATAAAAATACAAATATTAAAAAAAATCTTAAAACGAGGATTAATTTGTAAAGGAAATAAGCCTTGTTCATGTTGTGTTAGTCCTGTGATATTATATCCTAATATATTATTAATGGATAAAGCAGTGTGTCCCAACTAAATGAAGCCACCTTGATTTTTGCATGGATTCAAGGAATACTAATGAGAACCAAATACTATATTATGAAACTCCATATCTAAACACAGAATAATAAGGAGTAATTTACTTCCTGCTCCACATGGACAGGTAAAGAAAACATTGAATGAATAAAAAAATGTCTTATTGAAATAAAGCCACTTCTTTTTATCGCCAAGATATACATTCATATCCGAAAACAACTACTTTGAAGATTTTGCAGCGTAAATGAAGGTGTTTTATTGCTGGAAAATATGACTTGAGTCGACAATTTTTGCTTCAAATGCCAATAAATGAGCATTCAGCATTTTATGGTAATCGACAGTGCGACCTAGAAGAAAGGGGACGTTAAGTTTGCCACCATAGCCGATACCTCCCCAGAGCATTTATAAGCCTCCATATTGTAGTCCCTTTAAAGCAGATTTTCTCATGTTCTGTTTAGTCTAATACATCCCACAAAAAATTTACAATATAAAAAATTTAAAACAAATATAGCAGTAGCCTATGTTGAAAGTTATTTACAAGCAAAGGTTAGAAGAAAATGAAAGTATTAAGATGACCCAGACAGTTTTGTGTGTTGTATATAGCATGAGAAGAGAAGACGCCTATATGGAAAGTTATTTACAAGCAAAGGTTAGTAGAAAATGAAAGTATTAAGATGACCCAGACAGTTTTGTGTGTTGTTACTATATAGCATGAGAAGAGAAGACGCTTATGTAGAAAGTTATTTACAAGCAAAGGTTAGTAGAAAATGAAAGTATTAAGATGACCCTGACAGTTTTGTGTGTTGTTACTATATAGCATGAGAAGAGAAGACGCCTATGTTGAAAGTTATTTACAAGCAAAGGTTAGTAAAAAATGAAAGCATTAAGATGACCCAGACAGTTTTGCGTGTTGTTACTATATAGCATGAGAAGAGAAGACGATTTCTTCTACATTACACAGAAAAGTGGAGTCTCATAAGTGAGTGGGAAGGCTTCAGAAATGGTAGTAAACATAAACTATCCACTCCCTCAGGCTATGCGTAGACTGTCAATTATCAAAACAATTTTAGAAATCCACTTAATATCATTTGCAGAAAAAATTGGAGACCCAAGTCAAATTTTCTACCAAGGCAATTCCTCCATTTACGGTGAAAAAAGCTTCACGTTGTTGGCTTTTAGATAGTAGGGTGCATTCCATGAATGCTCTGACCTTCTATCACACCTACATCCACAAGAAAATACGTGGGCTATTCTCAGTAGAACTGTATAATAACAAATGGTACAAGTTTTAGTTTGTGGCAGAATTGAAAGGTTGCATCATTAAAACCTGCTATAAACCTGATGCTAAAATGTACACCAGGGTTTAATAATGGTACAACAAATCATATATTTCAACTCATATATAAACACGACATATAAATTAGCCATAATCAGAAGTGGCTTTATTTTGATGGAATACTTTTTTCCCTTCTTTTTAATTTATTTGATATTTTTCCAAGTAACGGTAACGCAGGAATGTTGAGTTACTCCGAGTAAATATGTGATTAGATATAGACTTATTAAATTTATAAGATTAGATCTCATTGGTTTTCTTTGCATTCAGTTATGACAAAAAATCAAGGTGGCTTTATTTAGTTGAGACATAACAGCATATTATTTTGAGCAGCAATGGCACAATGATCAAGATACTGAGCTGCTGTTTCGGAGAATCGGAGTTCAGTTCTTGTATTGTGGTTAAAATAGTTTGATGGTTATAGGATTGTCTAAGAAGTAAAGAGCAGTGTTAGCTTCATTTACGTAATCAAGCTTTCAAGCGTTTGGACTTACAAGTGTGGAGCACCTTATCACAATGTTCTCTACGGTGACAAATGTCGGTTGAGAGAATGCTTTTTTTAATGTATACATTTCTTTTTAAATTCTCTTACTGACTTGTCGTGCAGTTACGGCTTATGAAGATCAGTTTTTGATTGGTTGAGAGACAAAATTTACTGGGAAGGAACGAAGCAAAATTTTTCCATAGGGCTAGCACGGACAAGGTATATTTATAGTATATAGTATCAAGGGTATAGAATTATAGATATGTATTTTTTCTTGTTTATAAAAAAGTATTCAAAATAGGTATTATAGGAAAAAGAATTATTCAAAATATGCATTGAGCCGCGGTGGCTCAGAGAATGGAATTCCCGCCTCCCAAAGAAATGACACAGGTTCGAATCACAGCGGGGGCTGGTTGATAAGAATTCTGCTCCCGTCTCACACCAACCACAAAGAGGACGTAAAATAACTTCAGTGGTAGATGGAGCATGGGTTGGATTCCCCTTGCCGTCTAGCTAACCAAGAAAGACTTTCGTGGTTTTCCGCTCCATGTAAAGCAAATGCAGTTTACTTCCATCTAAAAGTCCACGTAAGCAAGTTGTCACACACCATCACCAACCACAATGCTGACGTAAAATATCTTCAGTGGTAAATGGATCATGGGTTGGACTCCCCTTGCCGTCTAGCTAACCATGGAAGATTTTCGTCAATGTAACACGAATGCGGTTTAGTTCTATCAAAAAGTCCACGCAGACAAGTTCGTCCCAAATCCAGGAGTTTCTTTATCTTCTGCTTTAGGTTCAAAATTACAAGGCTACGGAGTTGAACATTGATAGTCGTAAATTTAAAAATGGATCGGCTGTTCATGACTGCCCTACAAAAAATGATCCAAAGAAATCAATAAAAACATTTACTGATACCAATAGAATTCTATTGTTCTGTACTTGTTTCTATTGACATTTCAAGTGATGTCAACTGATATCAGTATTGTATTGGCATCAATAGATGTTAAACAGTAGGGTATTCTATTGGTCTGTACTTGTTCCTATTGACATTTCAACTGATATCAGTAGTGTATCAGTATCAATAGATATTGATTAATAGAATTTTATTGGTCTGTACTTGCTTCTATTGATTTTCAACTGATATCAGCAGTGTATTGGTATCAATAAATAATGATCAGTAAGTACTCTATTGGTGCATACTTGTCTGTATTTCGCACTTCAACTGATGTCTACTGAGATCAGTAGGGAACTTGTGTCAATAGATGTTGATCAGTTAGGTATTCTACTTGTTTTATCAATATATGAACTGATATCAAAAAAATTTTATAGATTAAACAAAAAAATAGCTTTGAAAATTATATATTATGTGAAATATTTAGCTTTTAAAAATTATTATAGTTATGCTTGATACTTCTATCAAGATACTTTCGTTATAAATGCCAAAAAAAAAATAGATTAGCTTGCTGTTTAAATATTAATTCTCTTACCAAGAAGCAATTCCAGGGAGAAAATTTTGTTAACGATTTAAAAATAGAGTATTTTTACGCATAAAGAATAATTATGTATAAGGAGTAATACGAATATTTAATAAATTTTCGCAATTTAAGTGTAATTACGCGTATCTTAATGTTGTAATTAATTCAGTTATCATTCCTTCTCGTAACCTTAATCTAAAAAAAATTTGAAATTGCTTGTCGTGATTTTAGACGTAACTCTGAACTCCAAAACTAAATTTTTTCAATAATTTGAACCACAATCAAATTAGTACCAACCTTTTGTCCATGACGTGAGCCCATTCTGTTACCATAATCTTAACCCATGTTGAAGGCTATAAGTCATGGCTCTGCCGTTTGAAGGAGATACTTCACACATCGTCATCGTCACTGTCATGTGATCAGAAATTCCATTTCAAATAGTTCATTGGCTGATACTCTCGATTTCTTCATCAGTCCTATAAGTGCATGGAGCCTTCACATAGAAACAATTCTTACAAAACTTGAAATCATATTTTACCTAAAAATAAAACAATAAATTATTGAAAACACATTCTCTTTCACAGGGATAATTTTTAAAATTGAAAAAAATGAAGAGAGAAACTATCCATTCTCAGCCTAATTATATACTCACCTTTTTCCAACAACGCAAACAACGTAAATCTATTTATTACAACTTCAATTACTGAAGGCTGTAGTTCCCTAATGTACGATTTTTGCTTAATACTTTTGCTCAAAACCTACGTCCTTCTTAAGTCTGCTAATTTATTTGTTATTATTTGATAATCAATTAATAGGGAATATACACCGAAGAGCCATTACATTATGACCACCCTCCATCTATAACAATGGGCTCGCCCAGGTTTTCATGGTTTCTCGCCCAGGAACAATGTTTTCATGGGGCACATTAGGACCCATAATCCTCATAGAACAATCCCTGACGTCTGTAAGCTACTTGAACATAGTTGCAGACCAGGTTCACCCATTCATGGCAACAGTTTTTCCTGCGGGGGATGGTGTTTACCAACAGGATAATGCACCATGTCATAAGGGTCGAATCGTCATGGATTGGTTCGAGGAACATTCCAGTGACTTTCAAGTCATGTCTTGGCCCCCAAATTCACCTGACCTTAATCCAATAGAGCATTTGTGGTCCTACTTGGAAAACCAAATTCGTGCTGCCACGCTACCCCCTCGCAATGTGAGGGAATTGCAGGACCAGTTGGTGAGCGCTTGGCACCTCAGACTACCTATCAGCACCTTGTGGAATCAATGCCACGGCGGGTGCTAGCAGTTTTGAGGGGTAAAGGTGGTCTTCCATGTTATTAGCAGGGTGGTCATAATGTAATGGCTCTTCGGTGTACATGTGTTTTGTAACGACCTACATTAATGTAATGATTCAGAATTTGTGTTAAAAAGTAAGTTAAAAAAGGCACGTATTTGCTCATTTGGGGACGCAAAATAATATTTATTCGTTGCTACGCGTAGGTAGGTAGGTACTTTATTTACGTCACGCTAGAGCTGCACAATGGGCTATTGGCGACGGTCAAGGAAACATCCCTGGGGACAATCCGCAGACATGCCATCGTAATTTTGATCCTCTGCAAGGGGGATGACTCCCCTGCATTGGTAGCCCGAAAACCTACTCTGGAAGTCGAGTATTTTACGGTAGAACAGTTTAACGAGGACCGATACCGCACACCATCAGTCCCTACTAAGACTGATCCAAGTGGTCACCCACCCGCTTACTGACAGCAGCCAGTCATGCTTGACTTCGGTGTTCTACTGGGAACTGTGTCTTTTATGATCAGTCCACTGCGGGAGCGTTGTTACACGCATATGTGCACTTATTACAATGCGCAGCTTTTAAGTCCTTACCATATTGAAGAACAGATGATTCGGTAAGGAAAGAACAAAGGTGCATCCAGGATAACGAGAAAATTCGAACCTGCTACCTCTTAACAACTGAGCGTTTGGTGGAGCAGCAAGACCCTCGAAAAACTATATCGAAATCTAAGGAATGGCAGAAGAAGTCGTGACCGAAAATGTACCTGGTTGAATTGTCGGAAAAATGAGAAGGAAGTTGACAGGTTGTTATTAGAAACACGTTAAATTATTTTCTGAAAAGGAATCAAACTGGTTTTAATATTTTTTATTCTGCCTTTTCACTTGCAATTCGACATATGTCGATAGTGCTTTTTGTGTTTCTTTTTCACTTAAATATTAATTTGCGAGCCCTAATGCGCATTTTTTTTAATTTAATTTATCCGGAAGTATATCAAAAGGGTGGTAACTACGAAACGATTTAACGATTTGATTATAATAGTTTTGAGAAAACAAAACCGTAATTAAAAAAGTGTATCGAAGATAGTTTTACTTAGAAATCACTATCATTCTTTCTTAAAAGAGAATTGGCGAAAAATGTGAAAATGAGCAAGAAAAGAAAATATTATAGGTGGTCTATTTTATTCTTTATTTCGAACAAATTTTAAATGATAATGACATCTTTGAAGTGAAATTAGTCACATAAACATTAGACAAACATGATGACGAGGTGCAGACATCTGCGATGGAAAATGTTGTCAAAATCATGCTTCTTTAATGTGTGGCAGATCATAAGATGTTCACCGACTAAATTCTAAACAGTTTTATATGGTATCAGGTTCATTTTTACGTAAGCCTTTGCAAGAAAGAAATAAATAATTTCAAAAGTATTTGTGCATAAATGAAGGTATAGATTCTATTCACTTGCGTAAGCTAAGTTAGAAATATTTAAAAATATTTAAAAAGCTTTTATCCTGAATATGTATTCTATTTTATAGAAATATATAAGAACTTTAATGTTGGCAAAGTATAAAACTATTCGTATAAAACTAAAGTAAGATTTAGAAAATTGTTATTTTTAAAAGAATAATTGCACCTTAATAGAGCATTAAAATTTCCCTTACTGTTCTAATTGTTCATAAACTAACATAGATCCACGTAAACTTTGATGAAGACGAGAAAGATTCTTTTCCTTCGTTTACCAGATGCGCAATCCCACATAAAATTTGTAAATGATTTTGTTTAAGGGCACTGAAAAGGTATCCATGTACAACGTATAAGAATAAAATAAAAGCATTTTTATAATTTTGTTCTGTCATTGTTTATACTAATAATGAAGCAGTATTTACTAGCGTCTTAAAATAATATATTATGATGTCTCACACTTTTAAGATAATTTTACTGTAAATTTCAATATTTAACAAAAACTTCCCAACATTTTGTAGATGCGATGATTCAAAAGGATATTTCAAACAATTTAAGAGTAATTAGTTTTGAATTACCCATCCACCCTGAATTACTTTTGATCTAATGAGGATCGGATCCCTACGTTCTAGAACTTAATGTTAATGGTTCGAGGAAGTTTCCTCAAAAATGCTAATCAATTATTACAGACAATATTTTAAGTTACGAAATCCTCAAATATGCTAATTAATTATTACAGACAATATTTTAAGTACGAAATCCTCAAATATGCTAATTAATTATTACAGACAATATTTTTAGTCACAAAATCCTCAAATATGCTAATTAATTATTACAGACAATATTTTAAGTTACGAAATCTTCAAATATACTAATCAATTATTACAGACAATATTTTAAGTACGAAATCTTCAAATATGCTAATTAATTATTACAGACAATATTTTAAGTTACGAAATCCTCAAATATGCTAATTAATTATTACAGACAATATTTTAATTAACGAAATCAGACACAAAAAAGCATTTTTTCTGAATAAACATAACTTTCTTTCGACGGATTTGAAAATATGGGGGGCTGGGTTAGCCGCAAACTGAGAAATATGGTCCCAATTGTTTGGTTAGAGGAGTGATTTAAAGTTTGGACACTTTAATGTTATTTTTATTTCTTACGTATTTATTCAAAGTTCTTAGTATTATTATTATTTGCACACTCATCGAGTATCTATAAGTAGATATCGATAAGAAATATAAAGGCTTCTAATATCATAACAAGCAAAGTACCAATAAATGATTATGTATTTCGAAATATTTCGAATCCCTCACAGATTATGTCATGCATTCTTTAAAATATTTAATTTTCCATAATAAAAAAAAAAGAAAAATTCGTTCAATAAATTTCGCTGGCAAGCTTGTTAAAATATTTCCTCCATTTAGTTTTAACATGTGAACAATATCTTTACATTTATTAATTATAAAAAGAAAAAGTAATATTAAGAGACAAATATTCATTTGAGTTCTTTTACTCCTGTTATAGCGGTAGTTAATAGTTTGTCGTTATCGTTAGGATTGATCTGCTGTAAGGATTTTGAATATTGCACCTCTAAAGTAATGTAATTCCCTGCAAATTTTTGTAAATGATGCAAAACGTGTAAATAATTACTTTGCTTTGGGATAATCATTCGCATGCACTTCTAGAGCTTTCTCGAAAGAAATGGTGAAAGAAAAATTAATACAATTGTTATTTTAACGTATTCAAATAAAGCAGTCAAATAAAAATAAATAAGATGGCAGTCAAGCTGGAATTTGTGAGAATAATCGTTCATTAACTACTTTTGCATAATATAGCTAAAAAACCAGAATTTTATCGAACCAACTAGACCCAGTTAGGAAAGATAATTAGTTCCTTGCAGATGGTCATATATAATAGCCGAGAGAGCTAATCTGTCTATCTCATGACCGACAGAACGGGGGTTCGAGTCTCTGCGTTGACACCACAATAATTCCTTCATTCCCTTCAACACATGGATCATTTCCAGTGTCCTGCACTCCACAATTTGAGACCCTGGCTCATTTATGCATAGATGGCTCAAGCAGAGAGCTCATTCATGCTGTCTCTAATGTCCAGTTAAATTTCGAATTTTTTTGTGGTTTTGAAAGTATGCAAGTTGTAACTTGTTAAAAAACAGTACTGTTTCGTTATCGTATTTTTTAAATTAATTATCATTTTTTAACCATACTATTTGTAAATAGTTTCAAAACCGTAAAGGTAAAAAATACTCTTTACCATAAACTTTACGGTTAATTGAATGGCCAGACTGCTGCCTTTTACTTTACCCTAATTTTAGAATGAAAATTCTAATAGTGTAAAGATCTTGTTAGAATACTACCTCGCTAACGTCACTTTTGCCCATTTTGAGCCTTGAAGTCAGATCGGGGATTTTTTTCACTAATTTGTTTGATCTTTGGTTTCCACTGCTCTGCACAAGAATTAGCTGGGAGTTAGTTACTTTTAAATACGATTGAAATGTCTCGCGGGAATAGGAAAATTAGGCGAACTCCATTTTTCTTTAAGTGGAACTAGTTTTCAAAAAAGGCGTTAAGTTTTCTTAACATTTCCTGGAAGAAAAAATTCAGGTAAAGGTACTGTACTGTATGATTGTGACATTTCTAGTAAAAAAAATAAATCCATTATTCTGATCTATCCATTATCTAATCC